TATTTAAACTGATTGACATGTATGGAGTCATTCCATAACATAACACTATTCTCAACTATTTGTGTGGGGAAATGAGTAAGCCATAGCAGGGGAAAATCCAGTAATTCAGTCTGCACACCACTTCTCTTGGTCTGTACCAAAATGAATAACTACAGGTTAGATTATTTCAGTACTACCTTCAGTGGCTAAAGTTTAAATTGAAAGTGATAGCACTGGAAATTAAAAACCTCAAAAATGATTAAACTTTACCTCAGATTCAGAATATTTGGGGCTGATTTTTAAATTCAGAATTGAATCAGAAATTTTATTTTCCCATCCCTCTGAAAACCTTATATGGATTTATGAATAATCAAAATAAGTTGGGCAAATCTCCACCTATCCTCCTAGTTAGAGATGGTTTTTCTCAGCAGAGACTGAGTGAAACCCAAAGATTTTCCTGGGGGAACTTGGGTAAGGATAGTTGATATACTTTGGCTCTGTGTCCCCACCCAAATCTCTTCTCGAAGTTTAATCCCCACATGTTGAGGGAGGGACCTGGTAGGAGGTGATTGGATTATGGAAGCGCTTTCCCCCATGCTGTTCTTGTGATAGTGAGGGAGTTCTCATGAGATCTGATGGTTTAAAAGTATGGCACTTCCCCTTCACTTGCTTTCTTTCCTGCCACAATGTAAGACGTTCCTTGCTTCCCCTTCGCCTTCCACCATGATTGTAAGTTTCCTGAGACCTCTCCAGCCATACAGAACTATGAGTCAATTAAACCTTTTTTCTTTATAAATTACCCAGTATCAGGTAGTATGTTTATAGCAGTGTAAAAACAGGCCAATACAATTGTTTTAAGAGAATCAATTTCTACTGCTCAAGTTTACTTTGTACTCCCCTAAAATTGATCTTCCTGAAAAATGCACTTCCAGTCATGTTGATTTCCACCTACTTTGTTATAATTATCTTTGTATTTTCCAGCAGAAAGACACATCTCTCTTCATCTGGTGGTCTTATTAGGTAGTGCTTTGAGCTTAGAAAAACACCTGAGAAACAGACAATTTGAAGTATTGCACAGGTATTTATACAACAAATGACTTTCATGACTGGGCAACAAATCTAATTGCAATTCAAACACTGTAGTTTCCAATCCTTAGCTTTCAGTTCAGTTGAAGAAGGACCTAATTGAGCTGTCATTTGAAAGATCATCAAAAACATTTTTTGTGTGTGATCACTATGTGATATTTGGCTTATAACTCTGAAGGAATTCAAAGAATTAAGTGACATTGCCATAATAGACCCCTTTCCATTCCCGTCTACTTACATAAACATGTTTGTTAAAGGAGTAAGAGAATAAAAGATATCGATATATATTTTTAAAAGAGCAGAATCTATAACATGAAATGCTTTACAGAGGAAGCCACAACAAATGAGCCTATTCAATTCACCTCATTTAAGCACAATCAATTTACTCCTTAATTTGTTAATATTTAACGGGAGGGTGAATAGAAACTACCAAAGTTGAATTTAAATATTTAATGACTTAAAGTCTGAAATTCTGTGTAAAAGAGATGATTTTGGTGGTGCCAGTGGGTAACAAACAGACTAGAATGTTACTGTAGCTATCCAAAGTACATCCTAGTTTGCTAACTCAGAAGGCAAGAAACGTATGCTACTTAAGAATGCAACGGACATTTCTGTAGTAAATAATGTGGTGGGTTTATCATTGTTGTCCCTCCTGGATACACATACTATGTAAAATTGACAACTTGACCTAACAGTGGTTTTTAATCTGCCTTTGATGAAAAAACGACTAAGTTATCAGGTAGTACTAAGGATGTATTAATTCTTTCTTTACCAGTCTTCAGTGTACTCTGTCATTACAGAAACACTTCTTTACATTAAAAAGGTATAAACTAATAAGTCTAAACTAACAAAAAATGCTTCTAAACCTTTGAACAGTCTTTCAAAACATATGTCTTCTGCTTTTTTTCTTGTCATGATCTATAATGCTTCTCATTCGTCCTTCCTCAAAGAAAATTTACAGATGAGTGTGACTATCTCTATTTAGAGCCAAGTGTATCTTTCACACAGAAAGCCAACTTCACATGAATTCAGTGATCCTTTGAAGGAGCCAGAAGAGCCATATCATTTTATCCTCATGCATGGCTGAGGGATATAAAATCCCCATTCCACCTCTAGAACTCATGCACAATCCACAAACACACACACAAATGGCAACATGAGTGAGATTTAGCAAACTAGAGGGACAATCAATTGTAATTTCGCACTCTAAAACAATTTCATTCGAGATCGCAGTGCTGGAAATGGTATTTTATAGTTGACTTCCACCAAATTATGATGCAGCTCAGATTCAAAATCTCTATTATCTTTGGCAGAAGTTTTAAAAACCGTTTTTATTTACTCCAAACTCTATCTGAACAAAGCCAGCACAGGCCCTTTGCAATGTTTACATCAAGTGCTTCATGCTATAATTAAGTAAGCAATGGAAATCAAAGGAAGCACTAAGAGAAGGAATCAGGACATCATTTATTGATTGGTGGCATTTGAGGGATTTAAAATTTTTGTTTTAGTGTATAACTGCATTTTATTACCATTTTATCCTCAAATGTAATAAGTACAAACTGCTTCAGTAATGATAGAAAAGCCTTCTCAGCTGTAATGAAACCTTTTATTTGCTAATGAAACTTTTATTATTTCCAAATGGTAACATAAGCAAGAAAAAGTCACTACTTTCATTTGAGGAAAAACTTTAGCAATTCAAATAATTTTGTTCTTGGGTGAATTTTAAGACATTTAGATTTGTTGTATTTATGCTTATTGTCTTCATTTACTTTTGATAAATTAAAACCAAAAAAATGTACAGACACACACTATTACAAAATTAGCCTCTAATCATCTATCAAAATACTAGATACTTACATACAGCCATCCTCTGTCAGATGTTGGTTTGATCCAGACACAAAGTTTTATGTATTTAGGCTCCTACACATCTCAGTTGCTGACCATGTGAGGCAACATATTGTGATGGTGAAGAGCAATGACTCTGATGCTATATTGTCTGGCTTTGTATTCCAACCCTTACCCTTTCTAGCAATGCTACTTCTAGAAACTTCTCAGTCCTCAAAATCCTTATCTTTAAAAATGAGGGTGACTAAAAACCGGCATGAGTGGGAAGATTTAATAAGGTAGTTCATGTAAAACACTGGAGTAGAGCCTGGCACATGGTAGGCACTTAATAAATATTTAGTTCTAACAAAGTTTTCATTTCTGAATACATGCACCTCTAGATTGGATGCACCATCCGGCGATACCATGTATTCAACACATATTTGTTGAGTTTTATTTTGTTCTGAACACTGTCCTAAGTAAAGGTTGCAGAGAAATTAATATAATATGGTGCCTACTTTTCAGGAGCTTACCATTTAAGTGCAAAGTATTTGTTGCCATCTTAATATCTTTCCTGAAGAGAACCATGAAACATACTCTTTCATTAAATTACAAATTTTCCCTTTTCCCCATAGGCTTGGAACTAATGGAACTTCAGAAAAATTTGACTTCAGTTTCTGAAATCTTAATCATGCACAGTTTAATAAATAGCTACAGGTTTTTTTTTTTCACATTTTATAAAAGATGATTAAATGGTCTAATCAGATTCTAACTAGCGAAAAACTTGAAAAACATAGGAAGACAACCATGACTGATACGTTTATTTTCCCAAATGCAAACATATTGCAAACATCAGCTGCTGAAAAATAGTGCTATTTACATCTTACATGACCCACAGAAAACTAAAATTGCATAGGAGTTCAGCATCAAAATGTTTAAAAGTACCTAAATTAAATTCAACTTGAGACAAAACAAAAAGTTCATTTAATCATAGCTATATCACTTTTCTAAAAGTTCTCAAAATGATTTCCAACATGGCACCTTATATGGCTTTAGTTTTTTCAAACATTTACGTTTATGTCATTACACTCAGAGAATTCATTAAAAAGTAAAATCTTGAAGTTTCGGTGTAAGTTCCAACACAACGACTAATGTGGTATTTCAAACATCACAAACTCCAAATGATCTCAAATATGTTGTCCTCTGCTAATTTGCTGCTCCTAAAAATGTGCAATAAATGCAATTAAAAAGGAAAGTATCTTCAATTTAATTGCAAGATTGACTACGATATTTATCTTCTTACTAGATGTATCATAATAAAAAACTGTCTAATATGCATTACATTGTTTAATTCAGGAGGAAATTGGATAGTCTCCCTTCCAATAAAAAAAAGAAACCTTTTTTTTTTTCAACAGCCAATGATGACGGTGTTCTTTCTAGAATACAATGAATAATGCCAAAATAGGTCCTCTAAGGGGTTCACCTACCTAAAGCAACTGAAGATCATGAGTAAATACACAGGCACACAACTCCTTCCTCTCTTTTCTTGTGCCATATAAGCTTCCTTTATTAAAATACTTTTTAAAAACTCTTGTGATTCTTTTGAGTTGGGCGGAAAAAAATCCCTGAAATAATACCCCCTCTTCCCAGTGAAACCTCTTTCGATACTGAATGAACTCACACCTCGCTTATATGTAAGCTGCGGCGAGAATGCATCTCCTAGTCTCAAATCTCCAAATGAATGCATATTTTGGTAACCTCTTCTTTTGCATCTAAACATACATGTTCCACAACACAGGATCTTCTTGATCCCAGCGAAGGTCCTTACTTAATGTATGCGTTTTTCACATCCATTTTTTAATCCTTTCAGGGTGAAAATTTCAAAAGGGGCGAACGTGGGTGAAAGAAACGAAGAAGGGGAGGGAGGAGACATGATGCCTGGGATTTCTGCCATCCTAGCTGCAACCCAGAATTCGTATATTTTTTCCTCTCCCCAGCCCTCCCCCTCGTTCCCCTCTCGCCCCTTCCCTCCGCAGCAGGAGGGAGGAGGAGGGGCCGCTGGCTGAAGCCGCCACCTGCCACAGAGTGGAAAAGCTCCAGTTGTCACTTACCCAGCGGGGTGAGAATGGCTCATTTTTGCAGGATCCCTTTTGGACCCCGCGGCAGGTGCGGAGGGTGGGTGCGTGGGGCCCCGTGCGCGCTGGCGCTGCGACAGTCGCACTCGCAGGGTGGCTCCGCACTGAGGTCCCCTGTGCGCGGGCACCTGGGCTGGGCCGCCGCCGCCCCTGGGCGCCCGGGCTACCCGCAGCCTACCGGGCTCCCACTCTCCGTTGGTATCCACAGCTTCGCGGTTGCTAAGGGAGGAGAGAGGCAAGCGCCCAGGGTCTGGAGAAGTGGAGGCGCTGCTGGAACCCAGCCTGCAGAAGCTGGGGGTGAAGCCAGCTTCTACCCCTTTTTCTGGGCCCTGATGTGGGAGGAGACCCAGGCAAGCCCCTGCTCTGTTGCTCTGGGGCGAGAGTTCCCCCAGGCACCTGTAATATGAAAACACAAACACGCTCGCACACACACACAGGTACACGCACACATTTTGGCTGGCGTGCTTCCTGCTAGGCCCTGGGGAAGGAAGGACTGGGTGGCAGCTGGGGGTAATAAGAGCAGGGAGCAGCTACTGCGTGATGCGGTGGTTTCCAGTGCTAAAACAACGATTGCAAATTCAAGGGAAAGAAGGAAGTCTCTCAATCTGTTTTGGGTTTTGAATTTGTTTCTGCATCTGTAATGCATTACAATCGACTCATTTCCTCCTTGGAAAACTCCTATCCTTGTTCCTAGCTGAGGTCCCCACTTCCAGCGTGCAGGGCTGACAGTGCTGGCTTTCAGTAGGTAGGGGAGACGCAGTTATTCAGTAAAGCACGCAGGAACAGTACTTGTATTGGAATCCAGTACATGGAATGCAGGGCTTAGATGAAGCAGCCTGGATTTAAATGAGGATCTTAATATGGAGGAAGTTTAAGCACTAGACTCAGATAACCTATTTTTGTTTTGTTCATGCTTGATCAGGTGTTTTGCAGAATGAGTTGATCTCTGGCCTCAGGTTCCTCATGTATAAGTGAAGGGTTGGACGTATCAGTGGTGACTGAACTTTCTAGGGTCTCTATTCTGGGTCAGTCACACTTAGAGGTGGGAAGAGCATCACCTCATTAATATCATTCTGCTTTTCCTTACATGGTAAAGGCCCACTGAGTATGACAGAATTCAAACTCGTTAGTGTGACATTCAGGAGCCCTCATCACCTGGCCCCAGCATCTTTCCCGAGCCTCTGGGACCACTTTCTCCACTACCTTAAACTCTAGCAAAACCAAACTCTTGCACTATCCCTCTAGTGGAAACATACTTTCACCCTTGACTACTTGGAAAACTCCTATTCATCCTGGAACACTTAGCTTGAACACTTCCTCTTTGACATCCTCAGGTGTGCTAATGACTCTGGCCTCTGGGGGCCACTCAGCCAGGATATGCCTCTGTTTTATGCTTACCTCCCTGTATTACATTTGCTAAAGTAGATGGCTGCCTTTTCTACTCAAATGCAAGCTTCTCCATTTCATTTTGTACATCTATTCCATTTTTCCATATTCTCAGAAGGAAGCAACAGTTTAATAAATATTTGCAGCATGAGTGAAGGGAAAAAAAGAGTGGTAGCATTTGTAATGAATTGTTAATAAATGCTCTCCTCAGCCTTTTATTGAGCATTTACTATCTCATTTAATCCTCATCTTCATTTTATGAGACAGGTTTTTTTTTTTCTCCATTTCATAGCTATGAAAACTAATACATAAAGAAATTAATTATTTTTTCTGACATCTACAATGGCTTCCAACAGGAAAAACTAGGATTCAAATCTAGATCTATCTGATTTGAGCCTACAAATGTCTTTAACAATTACAAGTTGATTTACTTTTCTGTGGCCCCTATAAATTGCCAGAGAAGCCAGATATTCTATACCATTACAGGTTTTGGACCTGAGTGACCAGAGCCATTCCAAGAAAAAAGAAATAGGATGCTCGCTTAGGTCCTGAGACTGAAGGATTCAAGGCTGCTTCAGGGCCCAAATGGCTAGAGCTAGACCAAGGCAGAGGTCATCTCCCCACACCCCTCTACCATATGTCTATCCCCACTAACATTGGTTCCTATTTGAGGTTGCCCTTAAAGTTCACTGTAACTAGATTTCACCTGGATAAAAATCGGGAGGGGGAAGGAGGAGGAGGAACTAGAAAGATACATTGTAACTTACTCCAGGTGCTGCCAATCCCTAAGGTGTAAATAATATAATCTTATATAGGTACTAGTTGTTCCAAAATTCAATTGCAAATAAAACATGGTATTTTCTCACTGCACAATGAGAAAGGAAATTAAAATATACTATTTAGATACTCAGGATTCTGCAGAAAAGATTCCCCAGCACTCTGCAGACAGTGAGGTACCCTCAATAGCATGTATTAATTCATAAATGGGTTTGAGTTTTCCACCCCTGTGAGCTCCAAAATTTCACATTCCTGATGAAACTGCAAGGAAGCTACTAATTTTCACTTCAGAAAATGCTCACTGTGAAAATGTATTGGGAATTTAGCCAGAATGAATTTTTATGTTAATTTCTAGAATGGAGATAGGGAAAGGGAATAAAGAAAAAAACTAAATTAAACTGTTTCAAGACCAAATAGTCACTGGAGTCCTTTTCATTTTCTCACAGGAAATAAAAGTCCCCAGATGTCCCCAGAAGTATCATAAATGTATAAAATGATACTGGTTTTATAGAAAGACCTGTGGAGTGAGAGTCGAGGTCAGGAGATTGAGAGAAGTAGAATGGCAGTGGGGAGATGAGGATTACACCTACAGTGTTGATTGGATCTTCATTTAGGGTGAACAGCAGCTGGACTTAGGAATCACAGATCTAAACTATCAGTGACGGTCTTATTCGTTTTCTGTTGCTATAACAGAATACCACAGATGAGGTAATTTATAAAGAAATTTATTTCTTACAATTCTGGAGGCTGTGAAGTCCGATGTTAAGAGGCCACATCTGGTGGGGGCTTTCTTGCTGCAGTGATAACATCGAGGAGAGCATCACCCGGTGAGAGGGCAAGAACATGTCAGCTCAGGTCTCTCCTCTTCTTACAAAGCCACCAAAGTCATCAATGGGGGCTCCACTTTAATAACCTTATCTAGTCCTAATTACCTCCCAAAGGCACCACCTCCAAATACTATCAACATATGAATTTGGTGATTAAGTCTCCAACAAAGGAAGTTTGGAGGATGCATTCAAACCATAGCAGTGACCATGTCTTGGATCAGAGGTAGGCAATGTATGGTTTGCCGACAACATCTGATCCACTGCCTGTTTTTGTGCAGTCTATAACTAAGAATGGCTGCTACAGTTTAAAATGCTTGGGGAAAAAATCAAAAGAAGAATAATATTATATGATACATAACAAGTATATGAAATTCACATTGTTTTTTATGTCTACAAATAAAGATTTATTAGAATATGCTCACACCCATTTGTGTTTTGTTGTTGTTTTTTGTTTTTTTGTTTTTTTTTTAACAAATGACCTATGCTTTCATGTAACAATGGCAGAGTTGAGTAGTTGTAACAGTGACTTTACGGCCCATGAAACCTAAAATGCTTGCTATCTTTCCCATTACAGAAGAAGTTTGCTGACCTCTGGACTAACTTATCACCACAATTGAAGACGTAACTTACCCTCACCGACTTTGAGAACAAGGACCACACCCTTGTATTCCCAGTACCAAATGCTCTGTGCCTCTCACAGAGGGGTGCTGAATAAATAGGCAAATGAAGGAATTAATGAATAGATTGAAGAAATAAGTTTTTCCATGTGTTTATTATTCTCCTGAAAGACAGAGTTCAGGTTACCAAGACTTTCTCCCCAGATGTAATCCCAAAGGCATTTCGGAGATCTTCAAAGCTCACTTGTAAATTTAACCTTCTGCACAATGGAGCATGTCCTGATGAAATGCTTACCTTACTGGCCTCCCACTGGGCTTTTATATAATGATGATAAAGAAAGTAGCCCTGGATCACATCAAATCATGATGCCTTAAGGCCCTGACACTCGTGGACTGAGATGGGGTTCAAGCAGGGCTCAGCTGTGTCAAGCTGCTGCTACGAGGTCGTCGCCTCTTCTACTGTGGATTGTCTGTGTCACTCCTGCCTCCTATCCACACACTGTGTTGTTGGTGTGCACTCCTACTCTCTTCCAACCCTAGCATAAATTTCTGCTCTTTCCTTCAGTATCAATCAAATTACCATGATTTAGAAAGTATTTAACAAGTATTTCATGAACAATGATAGAAAGAGTATAATCCATGTTTTCCTTGACACTCCAGTTGGAGGAGAGGACACGAAAAATGTGACATAAAAAGAGTAATAAATGGATATGTCTTTGGCTCTGGCGCCACCCATGTATGAGTGAACTTGAGCGATATTAAGGAGTTCAGCATGTCTGTGATTGTCCACTGCTAGCCTAAAGGCATTCTAAACAACAGGCATTGAATTTTGGGAGAGGAACTGAGTAGAGCCATCACAATGGCCTGACACAATAGATTAGGTTAGCTTACTTGATCCAATGTTTCTGAAACAGCTACAGATGGCTGACACTACTGTTTGCCATTAGAAATAGACATTATACTTGGCATTCACAGAACTAAGACTCCACTTGGCCTAAGATCAGAAAATATCCATTGACCATTTACTATATATCAGGTACTCATTGAATCTTCGCACCTTGAGGTAGGTTTTATTTTTATCACTATTTTACAAATGAGAAAGCTGAGGTTCAGATAAATTAAATACCAGCTAGTAAATGGCACAGCTGAGATTCAAATCCCGTTGTCTATGTTTCTAGAACCCACACTCTTAAACACTTTGCTGTATTGCTTCCCACATCCAAGAGGTAAAAAGACATAACCTCACAAAGGGAAGGTAATAAATGCAAGGTCGCTGATCTCAAATAAAAGCTGTTCTCAACTGTGCCAACTGTTCTTCTCCCAACCCTCATCACTCACAGTGACTCAATAATGTGGCTGGTGAAAAACAAAACTGAAGAGCAGGAATTTCATTCATTACCACACATCTGTTTTCTGACAGAGTAAATAGTGTACTCCATGTCCTCTCACCCTTAAGAGCAACCATCTCCAAAACATTGTTATAGCTTCATTTGGTTTAAATGACATTGGAGTTGGCCCTTCCATGAAAGCATAGCAGCACTGGTCTTCAAGCATTCCTGCATCATAAACTGCTGGCTGAATTGCCTTATTCTCTTCATCTCCACAACCTTTGAATTAAATTGTATAGACAAGAAACTTATGCTTCTTAAACTTAGGTTATAAGTAGATTCATGGTCTTGAATAGAAGACTAGGATTATTCATTTGGGAGGTAAATGGTAGTTAAGCTCATAGAACAAACCGTGTGACCTATACTATCTTTTTTTTCTTTAAAAAAAAACACATAACTTTATTACTTACACATTCATGTTGTAACTGAGACTTGATTAAGGAAATGCCACCTGATGGGACTTTAAGACATAGTTATTGATTAGGTAAAGATTCTTCTTGGTAATGACCATATTAGTTTCATGGAAAGAAACACCCTTAAAGGAGTTCATGGATTTTTCTCATAGGGCTTAAATACTCTCCAGACAAGCATGCTTTCACTAGTAAATTGCTTAGCCAACATTTCCTCCTTGAGGGCACATAGGTTAAAAAAAAGTTTTGTTGCTGTTGGAATGATCACAAATTCTGAACTAATGAGAATTTCTTGTTATGATAAAAGACAATAACTCAATGGAAGTTGTGGAACGAACATCAAAGAAAATACAAAGAGAAAAACACATTTCTAGAGTGAGAGTTTGGAGAGAGAGATTATTCATTGGTGAATTGCAGGAAAACCCAAAGCAGTAAAAATAAATTAATAAATAGGCAGATTAAAACAGCACAACCATGCTCCTAAGCTCCGCAGAATCACTTGAGAAGAATAATCTGGGGATTCCTTGATAAATTGACAGTTTGTAATATGATCCCCATAGCTGACCCAAGATCAGAATTGTGGGGTTTCTTCGTTCCTCTGGGCTTCTTTTTCAATAAGTTTTTCTCTCACTTAAAGGCCATATCAAAATCCACCTTTTGGTTCAGGAGGAAGAATCATGACTACAGGGTTTATTCTCTGCACCTGTGCAAGCCTGTCACCACAGGGAGCTTTTATCCCTGAGCTAAATGGTCAGACAGGACGTGAGAAAAATGCTCTGATGAGCCAAGGTTCTGCAACATTGGAAACAGAAGCAAAAAATTTTATGGTGCTCATAGTTCTGATGTGTTCTGTACTCAGACACAGCAACCAAGGCTATTTCTTAAGCTATAAGCCAAAGGGGAAAAAGCAACGTGGTTAACACTGGAGTGTGCTATGATGTGGAGAAATATTTTGTAAGCAGTGAAAGGAAGTCGAGAGGGGAATATATAACTTTACTCACTTAAAAGGCAAATAAATGAAAAAGAAGGAGGCGAAGTTGACAAGGAAGGTGCATAGTTT